TATTTTGAGGAATACGTGTACGGAGAACATCTTGAACAACTGTCAAATTGACTCACTACTGCTTACCCAAATAGAAGAACTTTTAGAAGAAAAAAAAACTGGAAATCAATAAGAATACACTATTATCAGAAATAAAAACTATGTTATTACAAGAAATTTCAACTACAGTAACAAATGAAATATCACTACATGTAAATACTATATCTACAGAACAACATACTATGAAAACAGAAATAAACATACTAAACATACAAACAAAAGATCTCCAAAATGAAACAAATAGATTGCAGTTAGAAATTAACGAATTACAGCGAACACTACAAACAAAACAGCATACAGAGTGGTTGTACAATTTCGAAAATAATAGGAAGTTTGTTCTATACGGATTGGATGAAAACTACTGGGAGACTGAACACGAACTGCATAGCCGTGTGACTTACATATTTCAGAATTTATTAAATATTAATTTAGAAGAGTATATAAAAAGTATAAATAGACTTGGAAAGAAGGAAAAAAGAAGACCACTTGTTATCGAACTAATAAGCAAAAAAATGGTTCATTATATCCTTGATAACAAATTATATCTTAGAAATACAGGACTTGCCATCACTGAACACCTGGACGAAACTTCACGCCAGATACGGAAAAAGTTAAGAAATTTAATGCATGAAGCCAGAAAACAAGACCATCATGCTCTACTGAGAAATAATAAACTTTTGATTAACGGCCAGGAATATAAACACACTAATAATGACGAGTCACACGTCGATGTCGAAGTGAATGATGCATCGAAAACAGGAAACACTGAAACTGAGAAAACGAATAGAAGAGAATATAATAGACGTTCGAAAAACATAAATAAAGAAAGTTATAACTTTCGTGAGCAGTGCAGCACCTACTTTTAACATTATTTTTCAAAACATGCAAAGCTTATTTAATAAGAGTGATTTATTAGAATCGTTCCTGGATGACCACAAAAATGAATACCAAGCAATTTGTATCTCCGAAACCTGGCGTACAAAAAATAAGGCCTCACACGTGCAACTTAGCGATTACCACTTGGCTGCAGCGTTCCACATAGAAAAATATATCGGCGGCGGTATATGCGTATTACTAAAAACAACATCGAATACGTTGAACGAACGGATATCATGTACATGTCTATTGAATATATTATTGAAGTTTGTGCTGTTGAACTTTCGAAATTGGATATATTGTTAATTGCATTATATTGGAACAGTAGAGAGACAGACATATTTTACAGTCAATTAAATCAAATTCTTCAATATGTCATAAAAAAATTATTATTGGTGGCGATTTTAATGTGAATACATTAGTAAAATCAAAACATACATCAGAACTCCTAAATACCATGCTAGAGTCAAATTTTAAGCAACTTATAAAAGAACCCACACGCCTGGAAAAATGTATAGATTTGATATTCACAAATTGCAGTCAAAAAAACGTAAGTACTACGGTATTAGAGTTAGGCTTTTCAGACCACAAATGTGCAATGCTACAATTAAAAAATGTTCCATCAGAACTAAATAACAATCCTTATTTTTATATATGTAAAAGAATATAAAATGAAAATAATATAAATAAATTCAAACAATATTTACAAAATACAAACTGGCAAAAGTTCATTTCAAATAATAAAACTGTTGACGAAAATTACAATTCATTAAATAAAATATTACACGATGCACTAGAATATTGTATTCCATATAAACGATTAAAAATTTATAATAAACAAAGATATAAATCATGGCTAACATACGGTATTAAAAATCTTGTAAACATAAAAGATTACTAAAAATTCATGTTATGTATTCGAAAAATAAAATTTTACAAAATTATTACTAACAATATGAAAAATATTTGAATAAGGTTATAATAAAATCAAAACAATTACAATCAATTAAAAGAATGAATAAAGCAACTAATAAAATTAAATGTATGTGGCAATTAATAAATGAAAAAAACAAAGCATGTTAAGGTAAAAAAATATAATGAAAATATTAAATTGCATATCAACAATAAATCAATATCTGACCCGCATGAGGTTTCTAATGTTTTTAACGAGCTGTTCGCATCAGTCGGGAGCGGCGCGGTAGGCAGTGCGCCCGCGCCACGCGGCCGCCCCGTTATGCGCCCGTCCCTGCACTCGATGTTCTTAACCCCAGTGGATGAACGAGTGGTAATGTCATTGGTACGACAACTAAAATTAAAATCCAGCTTCGGTGTTGATGAGCTGCCGTCCACTATTATTAAAAAATGTGCCGAAGAAATAGTTCCGTCGTTAACTTTAATTATAAATCAATCCTTTTCTGAAGGAGTATTCCCTGACCTACTAAAAATTGCTATTATAAAGCCAATACATAAAAAAGACAAAAAAACGGACCCCAAGAACTACTGACCCATTGCACTCTTACCCGTAATTTCAAAAATTTTTGAATGAGCTATGTTCAAACGATTATACTCATTTTGTGAAACGTACAATATTTTTGACGACGCCCAAAATGATAAATTCCCGCCTTGTCGTGGCGTGTCGTGGCTTAGTAGCCGTGGCTTGGTCACCCACGGTGAACGAAGAGGAACCCCTTGGCTGGCCCGTGGTGTAGGGCCGGCCTGAGGTGGCCACTCCGATTGGGCTTCGCGAGCCCACTTCGGATGTGTTATGGTGGGCTGCGGATAGAGCGGTGTCCGCTCCCTCTACCGCTGCAGCCGAGGTGGAGTCGCGGAGGAAGAGGAGTGCTGGTATGGCGATGCGCCACACACCCTATCCTCCGCGACTCAGACGGGGCCGCACCGTTGATGTGGTGGTGGTGGGGCCGCGGGGGGAGAGGGGTGTCGGTATTGCGAGGCGCCGCTCTCCCTACCCTCCGCGGCCGAAGCTTGGTTGGCGGCAGAGCCAGAGACCAGATTCGCCGTTGGGGTCGGGAAAGCGGGTGCTACTAAGCGCTCGATTTTCCTGGCCCCATGGCCTCAGCGTATTGGACTCGGGGGAGTCCGATACGCAGGTGGAGTTGGAGGCCGAGTAGGAGGGCGCACCATGTGTTCTGGTGTGCCTTACCTGAGAAGGAGATGGGGGAAGAGTAGTCCTCTCCCGAGGAGGCGCTGCCAAGGGGCGGCCAGCGCAGGTGGGGCCGCGGATGTGTGCGAAAGCGTTCCCGTGGCCCTGCCAATATACAACGAGTTTGGAACACCATGGGGTTTTAGTCGGTGCGAGTCCGACATAACCCGTCCTTGCCCCGGCGAGGCTGGTATGCGTAGGCATTTCCCCATGTAAAAAAAAATGTTAGGTTAGGTTAGGTTTTTTTTATATGCAGCCCTCTGACATTTCATTTCAGTCTTTTTATATCTGTTAGCGTTTAGTTTCTGTATTTAAAATTTTAATTAAAAAAGTGATAAAAACTCACGATATTACTGTGTTTAGTGCATTCTCTCTATCTATACGCGATATACTTCAGTTTGGAAGGTGTTGTAGTTATCACTTTTATTTATTTATTTATTTTAATGATGATGTTAATCTTTATTAGTTTTTGCAACTCGTTTAACAATTCCCTCACAATAAGTAATAAATTTTGCTCTAGTCTCTTTTTCAGCTAACAATGACCAAAGGTTACCTCTTTCCATGTTTATTCCGAACGCAGTTTCAAACTCCTGTTTATCTTTACCAAATCTGGGACATTCAAGTAGTATGTGCAGCACTGTCTCCTCCACGCCTGGTTCACAGACACATGAGGGTATCTCCTTACATTTAAATCGGTAAATCACCAACACACAAACACACATACACTCATTCGCGCAATGTATATTACATGGTAGACACACGCTGCAGCTATGTTATAGTTGTAGCACGAATGGGTCGCTCTCACAAAATACCGGCATAAAATAGCAGCTCAATGCTACTGTGTTCCGTATGGTGAATGTAGAGAACCGGAGACCCTTTTTACAGGATATGAGGCATTCCATCTTAGTCCTCAGGTGTAACAACATATCTACATTTTCATTTTTAATCGAGGATAAATATAGTTATCTATGGGCCACAGCATCCATTTACCATCAGGTGCTGTGTGCTCACTTGTCACCATTATTCTATATAAAAAAAAACAATTCCCTTTCTATAGAGTACATAATATACTAGTCATTACTATACGCAAACTGATGAAGCCGCTTAGTACTGTCCTGTGTGCTCGCTGTTGCTTTATATTGAGCTCCCTCGTATTATGTTACATGATGGCTAATGATAACCTGCACCGTCTGTTGGAACAAAATTATATCTTATTAGAATAGTCCTGTACGAGCGTATCGTTCGACAACACCGTTTAGTCATCTCTCTTTATTTTTATTTTGCAATTGTTAACAAAAAGTCCACCATTACTTTCAAATTTAGTACCATTTCAGTGAAACGACTATTAACATAGTGAAAGCCGTTTTTAAATTTAATCACGCGTTCCGGTACAGTGACCAAACATTTTAGAAATATTTAATTACTGGTCGCAACCTTGACCTACCTCACATAAGCGTGCTTAAAACGATCAACTCGTGCCCGTCATAGCTGCTGTGTGTACGCAAGAAGCTGATACTTTCCGATTGTTCGTGATTTTTGCCGAGCTGGTTGTCTACGATTTTGACAGTGGTACGAGCTTCCAAAGTACGGCACAAGTAGTCCTGCCCACTTTGCTACGATACATCTACGAGCCACTCCTGCACTTACTACGGTCACTGACTCGCCGAACCAAACTATCAACAGTTTGTTTTTTGTATTTATATACTACTAGCTGGCTAGGCAGACGTTGTTGTGCCCTTTTCGACTACCCTTCATATAAAAAAATCCTGTCACTTATCAGGATAAAAACTATCCTATCTCTCAAGTTGGACCAAATTGCACAGTGTGCAAAATTTCATTGAAATCAGTTCAGTAGTTTAGGACTCCATCGCGGACAAACAACGTGACACGTAATTTTTATATATAAAGATATAAATATATTAATATGCCGAAAATCTGCGTGGATTGCAAGCTTGATATAAAAAGCGATAATTTTTGCAAATGTGCTTACTGCAAACAAGCATGTCATGAGCTTTGTGATAATTTATCACCCAGGAAATCTTTTAGTGAGCCCGCTCCAGTTTGGGCTTGTCCAAGCTGTATCAGCAAGAGACCCAAGGGCGACAATACGAAAACACCTGTAAGGCATAATCTTAAGAGCACTCGATCATCACCTAATTGGGTATTGCAGCGATCACGAGGCAACAGGTTCGGTACTTCTCCAGTCGCAAGTGAATATGAAACCCCTTCTCTCTACCCCACTGTCGATGAAGTTAGGGACATCATACAGTCAGAATATAAAAATATTTTAATGAAGGAGTTGACCATCTTGATTGAGAAAAAGATTGCGTCTGAACTTCGAGAAACTGTTTCTGATATTGCATGCTTATAAAGTAATTTTTGTGTTGAACTTTTATGGATTTTATAAACTAATAATTGCTGACTTTATCTTCCTAATTTGGAGTGGCTGAAAAATGATAATGACCCATTTACTACTTTAAATGACTCTCAATGCCAATACTTTTATATGATCTCTGAGTTTATGGCCCTAAATAATCTTAAGCAGTTCAATTACATTAAAGACAAAAACTGGAAAATGCTCGATTTAATATTCTCAACAGAAAGTAATGTATTTGTTGGTGACGCCGACGAAGCATTAACCGCTTTTGATCTTTTTCATCAATCTCTTGTATTTGAAATTACTTTCCACTTCATCAATCATTTTCAACCATCCCAGCACCCTAGGCCAAATTTCCACAAAGCTAACTATGAGTCTATTAAAAATGAATTGGAGAGTGTTGATTTGCTCAATAGCCGCTTGTGTGTGTGGGAGACGCTTAATGCATATAGCATTAAGCGTCTGCCACACACAAGAGGCTTGCGGTGGCGGCCTGAAGCTCCATTCGCTGTGATGCCTGTGCTACGATCGGACGTCAGTCAATATGGCTAACCATGAAGATGTTTTTTTATTCTTATTATATTTAGCAATATTATCCCATATTTTGTTTTTAATCCTAATTCTTTTGCAATCAAGATGTGAAATTTTGCACTGTTTCTGTTAAAATCTCTGTATTTAGCGCCATTTCGCACGCCGTACACGCGGCCTGTAAAAATTTGCAACTGAACGCGCCGCGGCCACTAGTCGCCGATAGAGGGCGCACGTTCGCTAATACACAGGCGTTGGCGGAGGGGGCGGGGCATGCGGCATGCTGTCAAGGCCGCATTTGTTTACAAACTCACTTATATTGCAAGCAAATATAACTGGCCGCCACCGCAAGCCGCTTCTGCGTGGGAGACTCTTTATACAGGGATGTCGATGAAATGGTTACTCGTTTTTATTATGTATTGCATGCTATTATAAGTAAACATGTACCATTAACTACATCTAAAAGCATCAAATATCCAATTTGGTTTTCTAAAGGTCTTATAAGGACAATTAAAGGAAACAGAAGAATATTAGACAACGTGTTATGAAATATAATAATCCGGTAGATACAATTGCCCTAGACTTGCTAAAACAAAGAACAAAAAAATTTATGTTACAGTGCTATAATAGTCATTACAAACGCCTTGAACATAGTATAACTTCAAATCCTAAATACTTTGGGACGTTTTTAAAGCATAAGCGTAAAAATAGTAGTAATATACCATCCCGTATGCAATTAGACCATGAAACTGGAGTGGATGAAAGAAGCATAAGTGAACTCTTTGCGAAAAATTTCACATCTATTTATTGTAAAAATCTGAATACACAAGTTTGTTAGCATAAAGGCAATGGTGTCCATACTTTTTCATCCTCGCTTAGTTAGTTATTGGAGTTATGTTATCGGATAATTTAATTCTCACGAGGTCACGAGGAGGACTTGACTTAAATAAAGGTCTGGGCCCAGGTGGATTACCGCCTTTGTTTATATATCGATGTGATAAGCAACTATCATTGCCACTTTCTTGTATCTTCAACGAATCTCTTAAAACTGGATTATTTTCTACCTACTTAAAAATGGCAAAAATGTTTCCCATTTACAAAGATGGTACTAAGGATAATATTATAAATTACAGACCCATCCATTTTATCTATTTTTCCTAAAATTTTCAAATTTTAATCTACCCTTATGTTTACAATTTACTAAAACTTCAAATTACTGATTGTCAACATAGTGTCCTTAAAAATAGGTCTGTAGTAGTAGTAGTAGTAGTAAGGGTATATAAAAGTACACACACAAGTGTAATAATAATCCTATATAATCAAATTTATTAATACAATAAAGAGAGTCTTGTATCATCATTCGTTTGTTTAACTCCTCTCCTAACATTCGCCCTACATGGCGACCCTGCCGAAGTAATTCGCGACGCGAATATGACACCCTTCGCCGTATTTGGAGTGGAACATTTTTTCTATGTGCAACTGATGAACTAAATCAAGCTATGGCGTTCTATCTTGAGCTGCGCGACTGTGTACACGTGTTTAACAAAAAGTTAACGAAAAATAACATCCAAGATGGGCGGTAAACAGACTAAAGAAGATACCGTAATTGTGCAAAACGCAGTGGGAAGCAATAAGGCAGGAGTTGAACAATTACAATTTCACCTGACTACGAGTAATATTTTGCTGTCTATCATTGTGCTAGTACTTCTACTGGGGTCCCTGTATTGCTTCTATCGGACATATAGGCGATGTCATATAAAGTGGATTAACACAGAGATAAACAGAAATACCCTGAGAAGGTCTATTTTTCGGCAACCACAACCCTCCACAAATGTGGAAGAGGCAAGTCAACCAAGGGCGTATTATAAAGTATGACCGGCGCTGATCAGTGTTTAAAAGTGGAGTTTACGTGTATATAAAATGAGTAAAAAAGGTGCGTGTCTATTAATAGTGAAAAAAAAAGGGTAATGTGTTTATAAATCAATTACATAAATCTGGGACTCTAGTCTATATTACCGAACTTTATATTTTAAATTAAATCATATATTCGTTGTACTGTCTTTAATCGTCAGTTAACCGTATTATTATTACATTAAATATTTCGTAAAATTATGTATAGTATACTCTATTCTACGTATTGGTGGTAAGTTATGAATATTTCTTTAGAACAATTATATGAGAAATTAAAAGAAGTGAGAACATATTTAATTAAAATTGGACCGAGTAGACGTGAAGGAAAAGTTTTAAATACTAAACTTAAAGAGGCCAATGAAATATTTAGTGACTATTCTAAGTTGTTAATAAATTTTAATAGTAAAGTAAAGGAAGGTAAGATTAAATCTACTGATATTCCATCTTATCAAACTTATTGTAAGAATTTTGAATCATTATATCAGGATATTATAAAATTGTGTAAGCCCCAGTGTGTACAATCTGAAAATCCGAGCAATATGGATACTTTCGATTTGAAAACGGCTCTGACTTTATTACCTGTTATGTCAGATGACGAGACAAGTGTAAAACAATTAGTAGACAATATTCAGTATTATAATTCTTTGTTAACAAAACAGGAATGCAAAAATAATTTAATTAAATTCATATTAAAAAGTAGATTATCTCAATCTGCTAAATTACGTCTTCAAGACGATTACTCTAATGTTGAAGACTTGGTTAGTGACATGCAGAAAGAGTTGTTGCCAAGAAAAAGCGCAGCAGCAATTCAAAGTAAATTGCAAAAATTACGCCAAAATGATATGCCAATTGCTGATTACGGAAAACAAATAACAGAGTTATTTGTGGACCTTACGATATCGCAAGCCAACGGTAATACCGAATATTACAATATTTTGAAAACTGTTAATGAAAAACAAGCGATCAAGCAATTTTCCGATGGCTTACGAAATCGTCGAATCAGCACAATAATATCTGCTAGAAATTACAGCTCCCTGAAGGATGCCATTCAAGCAGCTCAAGATGAAGAGACTTCATCATCATCGGCCGCAGGAGAGGTGATGGGTATGTCCAGTAAGAAATTTTATTATTCTAGGAATTTTCATTATAACTCTAGGTACCCACGCGGCAACGGGCGTAATCGGCAAACATTTTCACAGCGAGGACACTACCACGGAAACTCGCAGCGATCGAGTTCATGGAACCACTCGAACTCACGTGGCCAAGGACAGCGAGGACGATATAATCGAGGTACGTTTCGTAATTATCGCAGAAATCAAGGGATAAAAAGAAATATAGTCAATATAATTAATGAAAACCAAAAATCAACTTCAGATGAACCCCCAACTAGATAAGTTTTTTCGAGAATAAACAAAATCATTTAATTTTGGCTAGTAGTAATAGCAATCGTTTTATTCATTTACCAGTTTCATCATGCAATAAAACTTATTCTTTCTTAGTCGACACGGGCGCATCTTTATCCGCCGTAACATATAAACATGCTATCGAATTAAGTGTTTCATTACATAAAGAGAATGTAATTATAAACGGTCTAGGTGGCGAGGTGCAAACAATCGGATATGTTTATGTTCCATTAATGATTCATGGATCTGTTATTAATCACAAGTTCTTTGTTTTTAATTCGTTACCAATTTCGTCGCATGGAATTCTAGGTAGAGACTTTTTGAATAGATTTGGAGCATGTTTAGATTTCGAGAAAAATATTTTATCTTTGAAGTTAGAGTCAGGCCACACTTGTTTCTTGCCTTTCACTAATAATTATAATATTAACGTATTGGAAATTCCCCCAAGAAGTGAATCCATACATTATATCCAAACTGATTTTCAAACCGATTGCATTATTTGTTCACAAGAATTACAAGATGGCGTTTATTTGGCTAGCTCGATAGCGACACCAATTAGGGGAAAAATACCAATAAAAATATTAAATGTTACCGAAAAATCAGTAACATTGTCAGGAATAAATCCTGCAATTCATGATCTTAACGATTATAATATTTGTAGTTTTGAGAAAAATGAGAATAATTCAGACCGAGTAAAACGATTATTTTCCTCATTAAAATTAAATGATTTAAATGACTTAGAAAGTCAAAGTATTCAAAATATTTGTGCAAAATATGCAGATGTTTTTTATTTAGAGGGCGATAAATTGACAACAACAGATATTTACACTCACAATATTTTTTTGAAATCAAACGTTAGTCCAGTGTTTTCGAAACCCTATAGGTTACCAATTAGTCAGAAAAAGGAAATTAATCGTCAAATTAGCAACATGCTTAAAGAAGGGATTATAGAACCTAGTAAAAGCGACTGGTCTAGCCCAATATTATTGGTGCCTAAAAAATTAGATGAATCGGGTAATAAAAAATGGCGATTGGTAGTGGATTACCGTAAATTAAATAACTGTATAGAGGACGATAAGTACCCCCTCCCTGATATTACAGAAATTTTAGAATCTTTGTCTGGAAGTGTCTATTTTACACATTTAGATTTAT